ACAATCTACATTATACTGATAAAAAATTAAGAACTCAATTCTCTATAGTTGAATACAGACATAATTGACAGTAATTTGATGCATGAAGAATGCTGAAAGAGGTGCCATATTATATGTAATTGCAATATATGCTCACCACTGAAGAAACCCCCTTGTCCCGTAACCTTCAAAAATGTCTCCAAACTTTGGCGAAATGACATATTATGACGACATTCTACACACATTAAATTACTGTCTTATTATTTCGATATTTGTTGTTGTAAATCCATTTAGTTTATAACAATGCTTTCCTTTATATAAGTTTGAGTCTAGTTATTTGTTGATCTAAGAAGGAAACGTAATTGTCAGATATCATAAAAGTCGAAGTGTACAGGATTCTTATTTGCGAACTCAATACGTTACGTGTTGAATAGAGAGAGAGACATTACATATGAATCGCTTCTGTCGAACGAAGATAGGCGTCTCGACATGTGCCGTATTGAAAAATGAGAATGCCACAGCAGATCAATGTCCTTATGCATTAAAAGAACGGCATCGAGCACGATACACAAATACCCTTAGACTATAATCTGTTTTTTAACTAGGAGGAGCGATTTAAACTTAAGTTGGCAATTCTGTAGACTTCTGATTGGTCAGATTGCAGTCAGTTTCACACATCACTTTTTAGCATTAACATCAGCTAATAATTGGTATTGTTGACAGTTCAGACAGTTCAGAACTTCAGTAAGCAATTATATTGAATTTTTACGATTATGGATCCTTCTTCGAGTACTATTAAGGGTAGCAATTCCTAAAAAGCCCTATAAGAAAAGGAAGACGACTTATTATTTTACATGCTGATTCTGAAGAGGGTTTAATAGAAAATACATTATTGGTTTTGAAGGCAAAAAGACGGGAGACAACCATGAAGAGATGAATTCATTGAAGTATTCAAGAAAAAAACTAACAACTTTATTACTGATATTTTGAAACTAAAAATGGATAAATTTCTTACCAAAATTATTAAAAATAACTAAATATTCAATATTTATTAGAAAATAAAACTATTTACAAAATTGTTAATTCACATTTAAAACACCATCTACTACCTTAGAGATAATCTTAATTTAGCATAATGAGCTAACATTAATTCCACAACAAATATTTTAAAAATATCTACTAACATTAGTACATACGTATGTATGAATAATCACTTTAAATTAAAAAAATATAGGTAAAAATTACAACTTGAGTTAAAAGGACCTACAATATTATTAAGTTTTAGTAATGATATAATGTTGACATGTAGTGTTATGAAAATGTTGGTTCCAGTTTTCAAAACAAATCCTGACAGGCCTGTTAACTTTTAAATGTCTTTATTTGCCCCTTAGCGTATTAACTAGGGGTTAACACTAAATAATGTTCATATTACTCATAGGAGAAATTCGAGTCACTGTTTGATCCAGTTGCCATTTACTGAATAACTTTTACTTTTAGTTTATACCTATAACAAATATATCATTGAAAATGTAAAATGATCAGATTTTTATGTTTTATACTAACCTGTATCTTGATATTCTTATAAAAATTTTCATAAATATTTAATATCTATTTAAAAAATCATAATTTTCAAAAAGTCGATTTCAAATCAACAACTATCAAATTTCATTTGACAGTGACAGTTTGTTTTAGATACTTTTTAGATCACAATAATGTGAAATTTACGTCCATTTTCTGGAACCAATAAAAACATCGACTCCTATGACATTTATTTGTTCCTTAACCCCTCATTGGCCGTTCGCCGACTAGGGCCGATAATAACAACTATTACATAAATTTTGAACACGACTATATTTCGGAACATGCTTAGTAACGAATCTAGTTTCTTTTCCCTGTGTAAATGCATCTTTTCAATTCGCTCCTCCTAGTTTAAAAATAGAGTATAGTAGTCTGCAAATGTTAGCTCTATACTTGTCACATGATATGACGTCACGTGGCATAAAAATCCAACGCATCTACATAGATAAATACAAGTAACGGGACGTTTTTGTTAATACAAAACTGTTAACATTACTTCATTATTAAAGGTTGTGGTTTTTATGAAGTAAAAGTAGCAAAGTTAATGTATAAGTACAAAATATTGTACAAACTTTATGAACAGTTCGTTCATTTATTATTGCAACTAAAACAAGAATAAGATATGTGATATAGTCTGCCGGTTTGCATAGTGGGGGTGGCCGTACAAAGGGGTTGAAAATAGGAAAAAAAAAATATTCGAGCGCGTCAGATATTCAGAAGGGATGATAAGTAAACCCTATATGAGCTTCTATTCAAAAGACATACGATTTGGATGCGATCAAAACTCATACTCGCGTATCGGGAACAACACTAATGATTTGTAGTGCGCATGTCGTACCCGTTTTATTTGTACATCGGTCTCCTTTTGACAGAGTAGGCTGTTGGTGTTTATGCCGGTCGGCGTAGCCAGGTATGGATTGAAATTTTCTGGTGGCGGCGAAGCCGCTACCCTACGAGATTTCGTTGCTTCGTCTTCTTGTTATCACGGCATTATTATTATTTGTTCATGTTTGTGAAATTTGCTTCTAAGGTATATAAAATACTACTGCTAGTTCCGGCGTAAATGAAAACAAATAAGACGCATTCGCACAAACACCTCCCACCACAGCAATTACAAATCATTAGTGTTGTCTCCGATCTTCGAGCATGCTCAAAGTCTCCGATACGCGAGTAAAACTCATATGGGGTTGGCCAATCCCAATGGGGAAGTTAAGTATCCTTGAGTATGGGGACGGTGCGAGAGAGTGAGACATAGATAAAGAGTGAGAAAAGAAGAGAGGCGCAGAGTTCAAAAGACATAGTTCTCAGCAGCTGCACGCACCTCACTTTATTGATGATTTTAATTACTTCTGCTTGTAGAAATCAGCAGATTATATTATTTCCGTGATCCTTGAATGATTTCCTTCAAAATAAAAAAAAATAACCGCCTTGGAGAATATTCAGGTGACGTTTTTTTCTGCAACTTTGTGGCTTTACTATTTCCTTATGTCATCAGCAAATCGTAAGACCCTATATAAAGGGTTCATGTATGGTGGGGGTACTTAACAGGGTGCAAGCTTTCCCCTTTATGTTAATCTGCCGCTCTTGAGTTAATAATCCTGCTTGGGACATTTAGTGTATACCTACTTGATATACGTATAATGTGTTGCCTATATTCAAGGATGAACTAACTATCAACGAGGACATTAATTTTTTAATTTTTCTTTTTTTTTTTCATAATCATTAAATTATCGTTATAAAATAATATTGAGTGTTTTTTTTTTTCACATAATTATCGTGTAAATTTTAAGTTTGTAAGTTTTACTTCTTGCGGTACAAAAATAGCGCATGTAACACAAGACTAAAGTGCGTTTTAATCCCTCGAGTGATAGTTGCCCTCGCTCCGCTCGGGTAATAATCTTCACTCTAGTAAAAGTGGCTCTTTAGTCTCTTGATACATAATATACTTTTGTGTATCGCGGTATTGAGTAAAAAAAAGCAAAACAAGGTACTTTTCAAACGTAGCAATAGAAACAAGAAACAAATTGATACCGCCATTCTTTTGTTACAAATATTTTTGTATTTTGTTTGTTTAAAGTTAGTAAATGTTTTATAGATTCTCATTTGCGTTTGTATACAATATTAGAGAGTATGCAACTAACAGTTTGACCCAAAATAAATGTCTTGCAAATCAGGGAATTTTACCTGGCTCGGCTTGCCATATATTAACGCACCTTTATATTTCTATGTACATCTTAGAATATAACCTAATACACAGAGAAACCATTCAATATTATGTTAGTTCTTGATTAAAAAAAATGTGTCCTGATATTTTCAAATGTTTTTATTTAAACCCATATTTCTTTCGCATATAACAAAGTACCAGTATTTTTTGAACTATTTTTTGGCAATTGATTTAAAAAATTTTTAGAATAATAAACGTTTTCCATTACGGCTATTGATTTGAGGGAAAATATTTCAGCAGTTTTGTGTTTATGGTAGTTAACAGAAATCCATTTTAATTTCCGACTTGGAGTATTATTACCCGTTTTATCCTGGAACAAGGCCTATTCAGATTAAAATCTTAAATAATATGTTAGTTCATCATAAAAAAATGTGTAGTGATATTTTCAAATGTTCCTATTTAAACACATATTCCTTTAGTATAAACAAAATACGTGTCTTGGTTAAACTATTATTGGCAGTTGATTTGAAATATTAGAATACCTGCCTAATAAAATTTCCGACACGGGGTACGTAGGATCCGATTACAATTAGAAGAACACCGCTATGTTATAACCATTTACTTTGAATTTCGAATATATATTATCTATAATTATCAATAAATAAAAAATGGTAAGTTATTAGGTATAAAACAATATTTCTTATGTTCCTATAATATTAACACTCCACTAAACCCCCAGTAGGCGGCGATAACTAATTAATTACTTTGCCAAATGATGACGTAGCTGTGTTCTTCTAATTGTAATCGGACCGTACCTATTATACCTACTCATTTTCCTCTGGAACGATGGCCTATTCAGATTAATATTTTTACTATTATCTACTACCTATCCATATTGTACATCATGAATGTCAGAAACCATCAAGATTCATCGAGATAAGATAGGTACCATTATTACCTACCATCTTCATTGAAAACGAAAACAAACAAAGAATGTTTTGATTCTCACAAAAATATATAGTAAAATATTGCCTGGACTATAATTCAGCCGGACACAAAATAATCGCAATATGTATTTAATTCAAGGCTGAAAGTGTTTATTCGCGATGTAACAGCGGTTTTAATTTTATATCTAACAGATCATTGATCTTCTCCAGCGAGTAACACTTTTACCAAAGAATAAATCATAAATACGAACTTCTTACAAGGTACGACATAAAAAAACCAAGGTAAATAAAATCATTCAAAAATTTACTAAGAATATTTCCAAGGAATAATGGTCCAAACGACGAAATGTACCATCCACAACGTTCTTTATACTCGGCATAGAATAATCCGGCGTGCCATGCCAGGCCAGCAGCCGAGCAACACGGCAACCCTCTTTTTATTCGACAAACTTAACCTCACTAAGTCGGCACGGCAACTGTCATATTTGTCAAAAGGTTTTCGAGTTTCGAGTTCGTTTAGTTGATTTTTGGGCTCGGTATTTTACATAAAAACAACTTTAATAAGTGTGAACAATTTAACAAAATGGACGACGAGTTTTTCTACGATGACGACGAAGAATACGGAGACTACGGTTTGGAATATTCGGAAGAAAGTACATCGGAACCGGACGTCGACTTGGAAAATCAATATTATCTAGCCAAAACATTGAAAGAGGACAAACTGGAGTGTTCAGTGGCGGCGTTTCAGAAGGTATTGGATTTACAGGGCGAGCATAAAGGCGAATGGGGTTTCAAAGCTTTGAAACAGTTAGTGAAGATCAATTTTCAATTGAAAAATTACGTGGAGACTATGAAGAAGTATAAAGAACTGTTGGGTAAGTTTTTAATTGGATTATTAGTAATTACTATACCGGGTTACTGACATACACTCTATACTATTGGATGTTTTGAGTTTTATTTGGGTGGTTAGTTTTTAAGCACTTTGTGTCATTTGCACCATTAGTCATTAAGAAATAATTGAAGTTTAAAATGAAATTTTTAATGGAGAAAAAATGTTATTTTAAGCTTTGCTTATTTGGTAACGACTAGCGGTGCGAATGGATGACCTTAAAGCGCTATAACTCGTAAAATATTGATGTTATATCTGCAAGGAATTTTTGTGTATGATTTGCCGTTGAGATATTTAAAAAAAAAGTTTGGCGCGCTCTTACCTCGCGATTGTTCTTGATTATAAGTGACCTAGGTTTGTAGCTATGCCAACCTCAGTGGCGTACACTTGATATAACGCAATTTTTCAACATTTTACTACTTCTTTAATGGGGAATTTTCCTTTCTTTCTTTTTCTTTCTTCTCTTTCTTATTCTTTCTTTCTCCATTAAATTGTTTAAGAGACAAAAAATTGCTAGAATGTTTCTTTTGACATATTTTCAATATTTTTCATTATTTATATATATTTTCATAGGATTAATTTATGTGTGTGAATAGCATTTCAAATCTCAGTTCCTATGGCATCTGACATAGTTCTAGAGTCCCTGATACTTTCTATTAGTAGTTTTGTTGAATTTACTACAGAACAAAGAGTTTTAGATTATATAATGCTTCTAAATAATAAGTATTTACCCTTCATGGAACCCGAATAATTATTAGCCTCTAGCACTGAAATATTGTAAACCATATGTTCCCAACGGGGGCGATAGCGCCCCCAGTGGGCTCTGGAACTGTGTATGGGAGTGGTAGCGGAAAATGGACTATTTAAGCTCGGCTTTAAGGCATTCAAGAGGGGTGATACCTATCCCCACCAAAATATAAAAACATATTTTTCGATTAAAAAAAAATGTTTATAAAATAGGTGCATTTAATAAATATTTCGAATAAATCTTTTAGAAATATTTAAAAAAAAAATGTTTTTAAAATATTTTGAAATATTGTGTGCCTGTTTTCATAAAAAATATTTATCTAGCTAAGTAAATTATCTTATTGTTAAGTAACATTCACGCAAATAAGCAGGTCATGTAATCCAACAAGAAACGTGGAAACTTGAAATGACTTGTTTATAGAGCAAGTGCGCCGGCATCGAAAACATACAAGTTAATACGTGCATACAGTCAAATCTATAAAAGGGATAACTCTAGAAATGTTTTGTTATTTTAATGGACTTCGACGTGATAATTAGTCGTGAGATAATATTTCTATAACTATAAATCTGATGAGAAATTAATTTGCATTTCAAAATGTCTGAATCTACGTCTAAAAAAATGGATTTACTCTCCTACAAACCAGTCAATGTCTGTGCTTAATTTGCCTAATAAAAGTTTTTTCAAATGAAGCTATGAAACCTTCGAGGCTACAAGAGCATTTAAATAAGAATAATAAAGATTTATCTTATTTTCAAGGACTGGAAAAGCAATATTTAAAACGGCCAACTGTATTAAACGTTTTTTGCGTCGTCTTCTTAACAAGATGATGATGGACTACGAGCCTCATATAACATTTCATTGTTAACCGCAAAAGCTGGAAAACCATACACAATTGGTCAGGAATTAATTTTGCCGGTAGTCAAGAGGTAATAAAAACTGTTCATCATCATAAAACACCGTCAGACATCATCAAAAAAATTACCCTCAGTAATAATTCAGTGCAAAGAAGAATAGATGAAATGGCAAAAGATGTTGAAAAGAAGTGGCAAATTTTCCATTCAACTCGATAAATCAACTAACGAAGCCTCTTACCATACGTTTGATTTATAAAATAAAAAACATTTATGAAGAGTTATTATTTGTTAAAAATTTGGAAATTAATACAAAGAGAGAATCTATATTTCTGTGGTTACAAGACAGAAACTGATATGTTACTTTTTGCTAATTTTGCAGGAGAGCTAGGTTAAAGATTTATGATATAAAGGGGGAATACTTAATTATTACTTAACTTTAAAAAAAAATACAGACATCAAGTTTTACCAATATGTATGTACAGCTATAATGGAAACAACAAAATTAAGAAAAATATGGTTGATTTTAATTGGGACACATTAAACAAAATTAATAAATTAAACAAAAATACTGGTCCTTCGTTCGAGTCACTTCCGTCTTCCAAAAATCCTAGCTCAGGTGCCTCTTCAGATGTCTGCAGATTATAGTAAAAATCGTGACAATCTTCATCAATGAGTTTCTTCTTCATAAGGCTAATCAAATCTTTCTTTGTTAGGGTATGCATTGGTCAAGGTTCATTGTAGCAACAACTAGGTAGCCTCAAGTTATTGTTTTCCAACTGAGGCTTCTTTCCCAACCTGTTTGACCTTGACTGTCGTGTACGCCGTAAATATAAAATTCTGAATGACTCGTCTTTTGAAAGAGAACATTTAAATTTTTTAATTATAAACTCTTTTCTCATATCGCAGCCATCTAATGTGTAGCCAATTAATAGTTTCGTTTTCTGTACCTAAATTTCTTTTAACTTACTGTGTTGTCAAAAATTTTGAAAAAGAAATAAAATCTTTTTGAGTAATTTTTTTCAACAATGAAAGGTTTTTGTGCCCTTGACTGATGCCACAAATGTGCACCAATCTCTGGGGACCAATATTGCATCGTACTCAAGACGGGTATGTCCAGGAGAAAAAAAATTCTGCTCAATAATAGAAATATGTTTGTTGCAACGTAGCTAAACATAATAGCCATGTCTATATTTCTATTCTGACCCCAGAGGTGTAGAAATATGTTTGTTGTAACGTAGCTAAACATAATAGCCATGTCTATATTTCTATTCTGACCCCAGAGGTGTCTGAATATGTAATCAGCAATACACTGAAGCTTTTTGAAACCATTTGCTTCATGTCACATGCAGTACTCTGTATCGTCTTCTTGAGTACAATCACGTATTGTCAGGTAGTTGGTCGACAAAAGGCGTTTACAAAATTATATGTTAGTACTCAGGTATGGAGTATCAAGAATCTGCTGCAAATAAAAAAAAACTGCTTGTATCGCGAATATAACTCTAGATTCTTGCACTGCTTCAAGTTTTGAATTGCTTAAACTTGTAACCAATTTTTCTGAACTCCTCAATAAACATGCTATACGATTCAGTTCATTCTGTCAAACAAATCAAAATCTTGTTTATATTCCATTTTTCTCACATTAAGATGAATAAAAAGGTATTTTTTGGTACCTCTTCGAGTGTAATGACTGTCATATTTTGGGTATTTTTTTGTGTTCTCTTATTGCTTCACGTTGTTTTGTCATTTTGGTTTTTGGCTCGTGACGACCACGCATATCTCCAAGGGGCAATAACGATCCATTGCATGCTTTTATTTTCATGACAAGAACATCAATTTTTCTCCATAAACACAATGAAACACTTTCACACATTTTAACAAGTTTGTTATCAATCTTTATTTGGTATATAGCCTTTATATCTATGAAATGTTCCCTTTCTGTTTTAGAGCGTCCTCTCCATTCCTTTTTTCCTTCTGTTTTAGTGAAACCCATAAAAAATAATCTGTTTCTGTGATAACATCCAAACCGTTGAACTTGAGTGTACAGAGAGTATGCCATATCAACACCTTATACAAACGTGTACATTCGATTACTACAAGACTTACGACCACAAATAAAATTAAAACTCGTCGAAACATGAGTTAAAAGTGACATATCAAATTTTGTCTTGGCGTCTCAGTTGTGGCCTCAGTAACAATCGGCCAAGTCAGTACCTGATATGTCTGCATATCAGGTTTTGCCATAACATTCTCATGAGCTTGTAGATATATCAATAATTGCAAATGGCGTTATGTAGATTGTAAATAAATTTTAGATGTATCAGCTTATGCCACAACAAGCAATACATTTTTATAACCACATATTTAATATCATGCAAAAATTTTTTCAAGAGAAAGAAATCCCTATTTGCAATATATTATAAGCAGCTGTGATGGTGTTCCAGCAATAGCAATAAAGGTTTCATAGCGCATTTTAAATAAGCAGTACTAAATGTACTCGTTGTACATTGTATTCATTGTTAGCATTTAGTTGCAAAAAAATTGATTACGTCGCTCCCTTACGTTATTAGAGCAATCAGTAAGATTAAAAGCAATTTATTTAATGACTGATATTTGGCCAGCTTTGTAGTCAAAGTGATGAAGATTACAATCGTTTACTGCTGCAGCCATAAGTACGTTGGATCTCTTAAGGTGTTTATCTGAATCGTTTTTTCAATCTATTTGACTCAGTCAAGAGACTTTCCTGAAGACAGAGACGAAAAATTGCGAGAAAACCCGATTCTATCAAAAAATTACATCGCATATTTGTCAGACCCGTTTAAAATATTTAATGAAGTTAATTTACAATTACAAGATAATGAATTGTTTTTGAAAAACATCGATGTTTAGAAAAATTGATATTTTCTTTCCAATTTTTTTTTACAGTATCGATAGTCTGTAGTCGATGTATTATTTGATGTCAACATTTATGTTTGGGCGTTTGATTTGATCATCGGATATATCCGAGCGCTGCAAACGTGTTTGAACTGACACTTCGAGCTACTCCAAAAGCATTTGTTTCGCTTTGGAGCGAGAACATAGAGCGAGCTCGATGTTCTCAGAGTTCGAGATGAGTAAGAAATTTGTCTTTCTCTTCCCATGTCTTTTTAATTAAGTTACAAAGAAACAAATCTCAAAATTCGAGACCAGACAAGAAGTCAACAAATTACTTATTATTATTATTATTATTATTATTAATTATTATTATTATTATTATTATTATTATTATTATTATTATTATTATTATTATTATTATTATTATTATTATTATTATTATTATTATTATTATTATTATTATTATTATTATTATTATTATTATTATTATTATTATTATTATTATTATTATTATTATTATTATTATTATTATTATTATTATTATTATTATTATTATTATTATTATTATTATTATTATTATTATTATTATTATTATTATTATTATTATTATTATTATTATTATTATTATTATTATTATTATTATTATTATTATTATTATTATTATTATTATTATTATTATTATTATTATTATTATTATTATTATTATTATTATTATTATTATTATTATTATTATTATTATTATTATTATTATTATTATTATTATTATTATTATTATTATTATTATTATTATTATTATTATTATTATTATTATTATTATTATTATTATTATTATTATTATTATTATTATTATTATTATTATTATTATTATTATTATTATTATTATTATTATTATTATTATTATTATTATTATTATTATTATTATTATTATTATTATTATTATTATTATTATTATTATTATTATTATTATAATTTGATAAAAGCAGGGGCCATAAGACCCATTAGCCCATATTAACTGAATATAAAACAATATTACTAAAAACTAAATCAATAACAAGTACAACCGATGAATAAACAATGAAACGAATGAAATGTTAATTAAAAAATAGAAAATTATCAAGTTCGTTCTTGAAAACATTGACAGATGGAGCATTTACAACAATCTCCGGTAGAGAATTCCAAGTGTACAATATTCTATTAAATAAAAAAATTTGCCTCGTTTTCGTAAAAAATTGTTCTTTTTTCAGCTTCCATTTATGGTCACGTAGTCGATTTTCACTGTCTACGATGAACATACATTTTAAATTTCCAAAATTATATTTTAAAATACGAAAACAAACTATCATATCACCCCGCAGACGGCGATTTTCAAACGTTTGTAGTTCAGCCATATGTAGTTTCTCTGCGTAATTAGGTCTGTTACGTCCGAAAAATAGTCTGGTTGATCGGCGCTGCACATTTTCAAGAATATTTTTATCCCGCACTAGTTCCGGACACCACACAGCTCCGCAGTACTCGATGATCGGACGAATGTATAATTTATACAGCCGGATCGAATTTTGAAAAGACACTTTTGCGAATGTTTTCTTTAATAAGTACATTTTCGTGTTCGCCTTTTTTGACACTTGAAGAACGTGCTCAGAACCAGCTGAGATTTTCAGTAATTATAACACCTAGATCATTGTAAGATTTAACTTTAAGTTTAAATTATGACGAGGATTATTTTTACCAATATGGAGAACTACACTTTTATTTGTATTTAGAGGTAGCATCCAATCTGAGCACCAGTTATAGATGGAGTCAAAGGTCATCTTGAAGCTGTTGGAAGTTCAAAGACGGGTAACTAAATATTTTAGTGTCATCTGCGTAAAAAATATTGTTGCACTTGATATGGAATTGAAGGTCACTGGCATATATTATAAATAAGAGTGGACCCAAAACTGATCCCTGAGGAACCCCACTCAAGACTGGTCTTTCAAGTGAATGCGAATTTCCAACTTTAACACAGTACTTTCTATCAGTTAAGAATGACTCGATCCATTTAAGTAAATCACCACGTATACCAAGGTGTTCTAACTTATGTAGTAATCTTCGTTTCGGCACACGATCAAAAGCTTTCGCAAAATCCAGGTAAATAATGTCTATAGGTTTTTTCCTGTCTAGTGAAACTGTCCACTCATTTACACACCAAAGCAAATTGGTCATGGTTGATCGCCCTTTTACAAGTCCATGTTGCTGTTTGGGAATGATTTCTTCCACTAAGAGAAACTGAGAAACGTGCTCTGTTATTATGGATTTCATAACTTTACAGATTATGGGTGTGAGGCTGATTGGGCGGTAGTTATTAGTCTAGTTTGTTTCCTTTCTTGAAAATGGGTGTTACAGAAGCTGTTATCCAGATAGAGAGTAATATGTGTTTATTAAAAGACAAAGACATAATAGATAATGGAACTGATATGGTATTAGAGCATTTTTTTTTTTTTAAAGAGAAGATATTTGATCTAGACCCGGAGAAGAGTTGTTTTTTAATTTTAAAAGGTGACGTTTGACAATTTCAGGAGTAAAATTAAGCCGTTCTAAGGAAGAAGGGATTCTTTCGGTAACTGATCCTGGGGAGGTTCATTGGTGAAAACTTTTGTAAAGGTATTAGCTAAAAGTTCAGCCGTTTCGAAATTATTTTGGCAGGAACTTCCATCTTCTTTGTTTAGTAAAGGAATGGATACTTTTGATGACAGTGAAGATCTAATATATTTGTATAATTTTTTACAGTTTTGGCTGCATGCTATCGACTCTTCATATTCTTCTCGGGCCTCATTTATAAATTTCTTTAGGTCCTTGGAAACATTTTTGTGATATTCTAGATCGACAATATTATTTGATCGCTTATATTTACGCCATAATTTATTTTTATGTCTAATCAAGGATATTAGTTCTCCGTTGATCCACGGTTTTAATTTATTTTGATAAAACACCTTCTTTTTAGAGTATTGGATTTTATGAGTAGCAATAACGGTTGCGAACTTATTCCATACTTCTGCCGGATCTCCCGAGTACCCAATGTTTCTATCCAGTCGATGGTAGATAAATGACGATTTAAGTTATCGAAATCGATGATTTTCATATGATTTAGTATGATCTTTGTGAGATGGGTTCTCTATGTTAAACTGTATACGACTTATGATGACTGCATGATCCGATATTCCTATCGGAGATTGACGGGGTTATGATGGACAAGTAATGTTATTTTTAACAGACACGTTATTTGTAAACAGGTTGTAATTTCTGTGTGTTTATAAAATAATAGACCTGTTAAAAATAACACAGGTTGTCAATCATAACCCCCTGAATGATAGGGTCAGTTAATAATTGTTTATCATTTACAAATAACAAATCTAGGGTGGAAGGAATATTGTTGACTCGGAATCGTGTTGGATCGGTTATAAGTTGTTGTAAATTAGAGCTTAGAACAAAGTTCAAAAATTTATTTTTTGAATTTACATCACTTGGAGTGAGAGTAACTGGCCACGAAATATCTCTGAAATTGAAATCACCAACTTACCCTCTTTTGTCTTATAGCTAAAATTATTCATCATACAAAAAATATAATTTGTGTTTGGAAAATACATTTTCTCTGCTCATATCTAATCATCAGTAATTATAGTCATGGAGTTTGAAAGCGAAGCGGGCATTTGTAGTATATGCTGCATTTCAGGGCTATTAATCCTTATTAATAAAAAAAATTCTATTTTCTTCACTTTTTGCTCATTGTTTTGCGATACAAACAAACAGGAACTCTAGAACTATTCGTAAACTATTGATGTTTCGCCTTGTTTATTTATAGGGTAGTTAGCATCTTATTTTTTTAAATTGCAGTTTTCGGTGAAAAATTCTACAAAACAATTGTGTGTCGGATGCATTAAGAAATCCTCTTAAATTGTAAAACACTGAGATTTGAGATTCTAACTTCATACACGTTTATAATTCTAGGAGAATCTAAATAGTAATCTATTTGATTATATAAGATGGGTTTCAATAACACCTTTTAAAGTTTAAATGACTTATGTTGCGTAGACGTTAAGTGAAAATATTATTAGTACGTTGTGACTATTTAAATTTTAGGTTATATAAACACGGCTGTGACTAAAAATCACGGAGAAAAATCGATAAACTCGATTTTAGACTACACTTCAACATCGAAAGATATCGAACTACTACAAAATTTCTACGAAACGACTTTGTCAGCCTTGAAAAATGCAAAAAACGACCGATTGTGGTTCAAGACGAACACGAAATTGGGAAAAGTGTACTTGGAGAGGGGCGAATTCGCTAAGGTTGCCAACATTATCAAGCAATTAAAATTGACTTGTAACCCGTACGCACACGAGATTGATCCGCATAAAGGTAGCTATTTCTAGTTTGTTAAAAACACGTATCAAGACTAGTTTTGTAACTTTAGGCACTCAACTCCTCGAAATATACGCCCTGGAAATCCAAATGCACACACAACAGAAAAACAACAAACAACTGAAGGAACTGTATGAGCGCAGCCTCAAAATTCGCTCGGCTATACCTCATCCGCTCATCATGAGCGTTATCAGAGAGTGCGGCGGGAAGATGCATTTGAGATCCGGTGATTACGAAAAGGTTAATAAATATATTTTTTTCTTAGTGTAGCGTTTCTAAAGGTTCGATTTTAGGCGTACACCGATTTTTTCGAAGCGTTCAAAAACTACGACGAAGCCGGCAATCCAAGACGCGTCAATTGCCTGAAGTATCTCATCCTGACGAGCATGTTATTGAAATCCGCCATCAACCCGTTCGATTCTCAGGAAGCCAAACCGTACAAAAACGAACCCGAAATCAAAGCTATGACGGACCTGATATCCGCCTTTCAAAATAATAACATGAAAGAATTTGAGAGCATATTTCAGGTACATTTATAGCGTCTTCGATTCCACAGCCCTGCCTGCGTGGAGTGCACATAAAAGATATCGATACCGGTTACATTTCAGATTGAAAAGTAACTGGTATTGACATATCTCCCACTTTTCGTATGCACTCAGTGCAAACAGTGCCCTAGATTCGAAGACGCTATTAGATATATCATTTGTCATTCCTGTCATCTGCCATTCTTGTCATCTGTCATTCTTGTCATTTGTGTATCCCCCTACTTTTGTTTAAATGTGAACTTGTTTTCAGGAAAACAAGGACTGTTTGATGGCCGATCCTTTCATCCACGAGCATATCTCGGACTTGTTGGTGCACGTCAGAACCAAAGCTTTGTTGACGTTGGTCAAACCGTACAGTAACGTTAAGCTAGACTTTATTAGCAACGAATTGGGAATAAGTTTGGACGAAGTTGAATCTTTGCTGGTGTCATGTATTCTCGATAAATGTATTGAAGGTAATGATTCGACGAAGATTAGCTCTTCAAATTTGAAGTTCTGATCTTTTGTGATTAAATATAAATATACTTACCATTTTTTCAGAATTCTATTAATGTTTTTATCGTATGCAGGCTGTTCCTTAACGCAGCCCTGTTGTTTTACAGGTAGGATCGATCAAGTGAATAAGATATTGGTGATGCGACCTAAGGGATGCGACACCAAGTACCTTGCGTTGGAAAAATTGACGGAGCAAATTGGAAAATTGACTTTTTCAATTGGGGCTTGATGTTTTTTATTGTTTTAGATGTTTATTTGCGATTTTCATGTCATTTTTATTATTTTGAAAACCAATATGGACGTGATTATCTAATAGACAATAAATAATTTTGATTAGTACATTGTGTATTATTTATTTCGTTCCTTTAATTGTATAAAAAGGTGGGTATAAACTATGGACAAGGTAAACCGATGGTAAGTAAGAAGGATGTTTAAAAGCGTATAACATACTTAAATTAAATTCAGAAGGATCGTGCTGATGGAAGACAATTTATATTGAAGAAAGAAAAAACCTATCCGTTTTGAGACATTTAACCTTAAATATTTTAAACAAATTAAAAAGTAAGTACGATTCGAAAGTTGCATAATAGCTATTTATGTAACCAGTTACGAAATGCTTTACTTTGTGTAACAAGTAAAATTTGCGGTATGAGCGGAGCGAAGTCTCGCAAAATGAGCAAGTTACACAAAATGGCATTTCATATCGTGTTTTTTCTAATTTTAACTAGATTATTTATAAAATTGTGTTTGTTAAAAAATTATTCACCATCATCTTTTGTAGGTAGGTACTTCCAATCAAATATTTCAGAAAATTGCATTTGAGAAGAAATTTCATATTTTTTATAATTTTCATTATTTAAAGTAGTTATTTCAAATATTTTTTAAATCAAAATAATAATTGGTCCTTCGAGCCGGATCAATGTTTTGGATAGAATTCTGTTTAATAAAATGCACTGAATGTAAAATGAAAAACTTTAATTCGAATGATAGAGCTCAAGACAATTTACAACAACATATACGCTTCGCGCTTCAAACTTGACATAACATTCTTCTTGTTTTTCATGGCCTGTTATAAAAGAGCTTAAATGCGATCAACATACCGCCTTGAAAGGTCCTGCTTTCAAAAACGAAATGTCTAAATGTAATAAAATAAAAAATACATAATCCTTAACAATATAAGCCAGAGTGGTTAAACACACTTTCAAACAGGCAGAATGCAAATTTTAGACACTGCACGTCTGAGAATTCCAGCCTTAGTATTTAGGGTCACTACTCGCACTATCCCATCATCCCCAGGATGAAGTTGCACTATTCGCGCCAAGGGCCAGCACAATGGAGGTACGTTATCTTCCTTAACTAACACTAATGCTCCAATTTTAAGATGACGACTCTGCTGCTTCCACTTTATTCTCTGCTGTAGGTTGGATAAGTACTCCTTATGCTACCTGGACCAGAAGTGTTGAGCCATTTGTTGAAGTTGATGGTAGGCGGACAGCCTATGGAATGGAACTGCTTCCACATCCATTTGAGGAATAGCGGTTAATAGGTCGCTGATGAGGAAATGACTGAGGGTCAAAGGAGTAAGATCGTTGGGTCTTCACTTAAGGGAATCAAAGGTCTGAAGTTGAGGATTGCTTCAACTTGCACACATAGAGTTACAAAATCTTCTAGAGAAAGATTATTTTAATTAACAGTCTGTCCCAAGAGTCTGTGGATTCACCTAATGATTTAAGAGCTCTGATGTGTTGCTTAACAGTGTCCATAAGTTTTCTTAACTGGGCTGATGACTATTTATTTCTGGTATGTCAAATAAGTCATCAATATGCTTATCTATGATTACTTTTTTATTTTCGAACCTATCTACTAACAATTTTAATGCTATCATAGTTTTCATTTGTTAACTCGATATCTTGAATAACCGTGAGTGCGTTATGTTGGCTTTTGCCACTCTAGTGTACTGTCAGCATGACAGCGTGGTCAGGGTCGTGGAACACGAGACCATATGTCATCGGTCACTCGAACCTGCCCGCCTTTTTTGCTAGTGAGTTACAACGATTACTAATGTATTGTATTGCAACATTTCAACATTAAAGAGTTACCTACATCTTATCAAACCTGAAGCCTACCCTGTGAGTAATACAATTTTTCAATGTTTGATTCAATGCATTTCATTAAACAGAATTCTATCCAAAACAGAATAAACCATAATTTATCTGTAAAATATTTATATAAAATGTTCATTTAAATATGTAAAAATCTTAATGATAAGAAAACACTAAAGATTCTAATTTCTAAACCGCTTATTATTTGTTTACAAATAAGTGCTCAAAATTGAACAAGATAGATAAAAAAAAATTGCCAAGTGAAATACGATTTTCGTCGTCTGATTTACATATGGATAAGCAATTTATGAAACTATGTATATCATTGGGTGTGAGCCACCAAGTGTACCTGTGGCAATTTATAAAATTTCTTTATTATCGAATCAAAACCAGGTTTCCAAAGTGATGTGTTTGTACATCCAAGGATGCAACAAGTTTTTTCTATAATGATATTGCGAAAATAATTAGACTTTATTTAATTAATAGTTACTAAACAATAAATGCCGTATAAAACATTAATAAATCCCCCCCATAAAGTTCACATTTTGTCACCAGTTGGCGTTAAAGTCATGACGCACGGTCCCTATGAACTACTCGGTCAGGGTCACTTAAAAATAAAAAGAAAAACATTGACAGGTAAGAAAAATAATACTATTGCAGTGGGAGTCTCATCTTTCGATACATCCTGTATCGAGACGCCTATCCATAGATAAATTAATATGTAAGATCAACCGTCGAAATTCTCATCCAATATCGATTATTTTTACTGTCGATTTTTACATTAGATACTTTATACAATGGATTCTTCTTTTTAAATTGGTACGTTTTAAAATTGAATATTTTTCACAATCAATTTTTTGATTCTTTTTAGTCAATTTCTTTACAATCGATAACAGCTATTTTTTTACATTCGATTATATGCATTTTTTTGCAATCGATTATTTTTATACGATTGAAATCCACCAAATAGATTCTTTTTACTGTTAATTTTTACACAGTGTCTAGGTACTCGCTAACTTGTACGCAATTCAAAAAGTTATATACACGCGAAACGTCTTAACAGAATAGGTGAGCTGTGTCTAGGCCATTGGTGTTTATGCCGGTCGGCGTAGCTAGGTGTGGATTGAAATACTATTTGGAGCCACCATCGCATACTACATATATTTTTAGTTTTTAGGAATATAATCTATTAAATTGTAATAATTAACTTTTCTTTTAAAAGAGAAGGAAAATATAGTTTTTTCCCACGTACTAGTCGTAAGACTTCAGTGGAGATATTTATTTTCCATTTTCCATTTCCATAATTGGCTAATTGGCTTGACAGTAAAAGGCAGCAGAGAAGAAGAAAATAAAAAGATTGTAAAGCGTAGACGCGGTACATTCAAATGTTCTTTATTATTTAAGTATTTACATTTTTTGGCATTCATTGCTCTAAAAAAAAAAACAATATTTAAATTAAAATATTGTATTTAATATATTAATTTGTTAAAGTACCTAATAAAACCCCAAAAAATATAAATAAAGAAATATTTATATTAAAATATTTCAAACACAGGTATGTACCTATAGTTTAATCATTTAATACAAGTAAGGTGAATTTAAAAGTTTATTACATACATAACATGTACTCAATATTAAATAACAATAATTGCAAGTGAAATTAATAGTAGTCTCCTCTTATTGCACCTATGTTCCACGCGATATTGATTCTTTTCTGCCAAAATAAAAGCGATTTGTTAACATAATGGAACTTTCTTTAGCTGAAGAATTATGGAAATGTTGTATTTCGATGATCCGGTTCCGGATTTTGAGCCAAAACAGGTTCACGGTCGGACCGGTAAATATGTAGGTAATTTCAATTCATTCGCGAACCTTCTGCCAAAATCATTATCATACTAATTGGTCGATTTTCGTATCTCGTTGTTCAATAAAGAAAGTTGATTTCTTATCGCGTGAATATGTGCGCCTCATTACAACATTTTTTTTAAATATCAGCCCTTTATTTTTAACATAACACAATATTTTAAATATTTTACTACTAAAAATAATATCTATATATAGACATATACATACAGAGTGTTTCTAAATTCTTGCAAAAATAAAGGCGGAAATTCCTGTTGAAAATTAGGACGAGCCGGTCCTATAAAAAAATTTTCTCAGCCCAACTCCTTGAGAGATACCTATCACCCCCCAAGAAGATGTAATTATCATATGCCATTATATTTTTTTGAAAACTAATAGTTCTATGGAAAGAAACAAAAGAGCAAGTTAACAAATAACAGGAATTCTGAATGTTTAATTTATAAAATTCAACCCGACAAAAAAAGTTTTAACATAAAATAAATTAACAGTTATTAACTTTCTTATAACATAATCCCACAAAATATCAACGTTCTATAAATATACTAAGAACGTTCTGTATATGATCTTTTTGATATGTCCGTCTTAGAATGTTCTTATAACATGCTTAGAATGTACTTTAAAAGTATAGACTAAGTACGTACTTTAAAATATGTATATACTAAGTACGTGCGTATATTCTAAAACAGAACGTACTGAGCTTTAACAGAACATTCTTGGAAGATACTAAAAACCATATGCCCAGCATGTAACTAATATTCTGAGAATGTTCTAAATGCTTACAGGTATGAATTAAAAATATAAAAACACGTTCATATGCCTATAAGAATTTTTCCTATATACCGCATTTATCTGATCTGATAATTCGCTAGCAAAAGCACTAATGTTGAGCGTTTAGGCTAAAAAACATTCACAACCTAAATAGAAAATAGAAGAATGACATAACCAAACAAAAAATAATAAAAATCAATCACATCGTGTGTTCTAGTGTTTTATACAAGGTGTCTCGTATCATTATGTTCACATTTTAGGAGCATAAAGTACACTTCTTCAAGTTCAAAGTTACACCCCTATACAGGATGTCCCGAAATTAGACGGTTATATTTTAACAGCGCAATCTACATCCTTAAGTAGGAGTAAAAGTTTATGTAAACATAGGTCCGAAAACGTTTCGTTTTCGAGATACAGGGTGTTACAAGTGAAGTGCTGATGGCACATTTTTGTAAATATTTTCTAAAATTTCTTTAGTCACCAATTTTACAAAGGTAA